CCTTTTGCCCCCCCAGGAGACTCTGTGGGGTGTTTAGGGGGTGTTTGGGGGTGTTTTTGACCCCATTTGTCCCCCCAGGAGATCCTGTGGGGGTGTTTAGGGGTCCCTGGGGTTGTTTTTGACCCCATTTGTCCCCTCAGGAGACCCTGTGGGGGTGTTTGGGAGTCCCTGTGGGTGTTTTTGACCCCCTTTGTCCCCCCAGGAGACCCTGTGGGGGTGTTTAGGGGGGTTTGGGGGTGTTTTTGACCCCCTTTGTCCCCCCAGGAGACCCTCCGCACGGCGCTCGCCGTCGGGGCTGACCGGGCGGTGCTGGCCGAGGTGGGGGAGGGGGTGGCCCTGGGGCCCCTCGAGGTGGCCACGGCCCTGGCCGGGCTGGTGGGGAAGATCCAGCCCCAGCTGGTGCTGCTGGGCAAGCAGGTGAGACCCTATAGACTCCTGTAGAGCCCCTATAGGTCCACTATAGACTCCCTGAAACCCCAGCTGGTGCTGCTGGGCAAGCAGTGAGACCCCCACAGATCCCCTATGGGCTCTCACAGCCCCTTATGGACCCTCCTATAGACACCTGTGCACCCCCATATAGGCCCTTGTGGACCCCCGCAGCCCCGGGAGGGTCCCTGTGGCCCGGGGGGTGTGGTGGGTCCCCTATGGCCCCCATAGGACCCCCCCTGTCCCCCCCAGGCCATCGATGACGACTGTAACCAGACGGGGCAGCTCCTCGCCGCCATGTTGGACTGGCCGCAGGTACCGCGGGGCACGACGGGACACTGGGGGTGTGCGGCTATCCCGGCATCCCCCGCGGCACCGACCATAGAGATCGACCATAGAGAGCATCGCAGTGCGCGGGGCACGACGGGACACTGGGGGTGTGCGGCTATCCCGGCATCCCCCGCGGCACCGACCATAGAGATCGACCATAGAGATCATGGCCGCGCGCGGGGCATGACGGGACACTGGGGGTGTTCGGCCGGAGGGGGGATGTATCCCATCGTCCTTTGCGGCGGTTTCCGCGCGGGGGGGGCCCAGTTTATGCTGGGAACGCCTCAGTTGGTACTGGGAGAGGCTGTTTTACACTGGGAACGGCCCGTTTCACACTGGGAAGGGCTCCCAGCCCTTACTGGGGCAGTCCAAGCCCGTACTGGGATGCCCCCATTCCTTAGTGGGATGCCCTCATTTCACAGTGGGATGCCCCCACTCCACTGTGGGTGGTCCCACCCCGCACTGGGACGTTCCCAGTCCATCCCAGTCCCCTCTGTCCCCAGGGCACCTTCGCCTCCCGTGTCCAGCTGGAAGGCGGCTCCGTGCGGGTGGAGCGGGAGGTGGACGCGGGGCTGGAGACGCTGCGGTTGCGCCTCCCGGCCGTTCTCACGGCGGATCTGCGGCTCAACGAGCCCCGTTACGCCACCCTGCCCAACATCATGGTGAGTGGGGCACCCCC